ATTAGGATGATTGCTAGGTGTTAAGAGAAAATGTAAAGATATGTGTTTATTATGGCATGTAATTGACTAGGACAGAGGCTCCCAGACTGTGTCCTGCTGCAACCTGAAGTGTTAATGGACTTAATGCAAGCCATTTATAATTAAGTTGGTATTTTTCACTAGTTCTCCAACCTACTACTGTTTGGATAATGTTACGATGATCACGGATATATATGGTTTGTTATGATTTTCTTCATTAAATAACTTCAATTTACTGCTCTTTTTTAACATCGTCTCCTAACTCTCTGCCAAATTTTTATTTTAGTCACTTTTATATTTTCCTATATGTCTCAATTAACAGAGTTATCCCAAAATAATTCACGAAAAAAATCGTAACTTTCTTTAGAATTGACCTACAAACATAAATTTAGGGCAATCCTCCGAAGTCCGGTCCCAAATTATTTCGTATGAAAAAAATTGCAATGCACAGTGTCTATTGTTAGAAAACAGCAGAAATGTCAGTCATAGCGTTTGCAAATAACTGTCACTTTACAAACTAGTCATTAAATACTAAATATTGTCATTGGCGCATAGCATTTGCAAATGGCAGCCGAAACGTTCTGCTTGTGACTGTTGCGCCACTGAAGGCTCCAAGTAGCTGGCAAACAGACAGCGACTACAACCACTCTGATAGCGGAGTTTATGTTCCGCTTGTATCCAAAGTCCTTCAATAATTTATGTGTGAATGTCCTGGTCTACTGGATCAACAAATTCACGCGCCTGCACAATGACAGCGTGAGGCAGTAAGGAGTAATCACTGAAAATAATTTGGGACCGGACTTCGGAGGATTGCCTAAATTTAGTATCAATGAATTGCATTTTTCAGGCCCTATTTAACCAACTAGCTCTTAAAGCTATAAATTCATTTTGAAAATTTTACCCAAGTACCTATTACTTGGTACTCTATTCTTATTAAAGTAGCAGTTGGTTTTGTGCAGCATCTATGCTGTATCAATTAAATATTGTTTTGATAGAGTCAAGTGAAGTTAATGAGGTATGTCTTCTTGTATAAGTATAAGGTTTCAAAAATCGATTAGATTGTTGAAAAAGTGCTATTTTAACGTTCACAAAGAATGTGGCTTGTTAGAGCAAAATTGAAAAGACTGGATTTTTTCTTGGCCGACGCTCAAGTGGTAGATTACCTATAGAACTATATTTAACATATAGTTAAAAAATACAATAAAATTATAAACATAAACGTATTCTTACTTGCTTTTAGCTTTAAAGGTCTTCAAAATATGGTACATGTCTCGATTGGTAGTAATGGCCATGGCTCAAAGATGGCAAACAGGAAGTATCCGTCATAACCGTCACGTGACCAACCGAATATTATAAAACCCTCACGTGACCAGCCGGGTCCGAATAGCCAATTACTACTATAGGTACCAGGGTACCTATAGCCACTCCGTAAATAATATTATTAGTCATTAGTACGGTAACTAGGGTTGTTAAATTTCCCCAAGATTGCTTTGCATATTTCCCCAGATTATAATAATAATAATATTAAACTACCAGGGCTCAGTGTTTTTATCAGGCATCTATCCAGACAGTACCCCCCACCCCGACTTATTAATGGAGTTGTCATTTTTTTTTAAAAATGTATCGATCTGATGAATTGAACCGATTACAACAAGTGAAACCTATGAAATATCGATATATTATATGTAGATTATTCGATTACCATATTAATATTTTTTTTTATATTGCACTGTGCCGAAAATAGGCCGTTTCTAAACCAAAACATACTTTTTGTTATTCACTTATATCGTGTTTTTATTTATTTAATTTTACTTGCTTCACAAGTTTAAAAACTTAAATAACACGGTTTAAACAACTTTTATATCAATATAAAAGTCTATACCATAACTCAAATTCAATCCCTTTTTTAAATTATATTTCATAATAAAAGCATGACTTTTAAAAATAAATTTATAAGCATTAGCCTTAGCATAGTTTAGTTTTAAACGCACTCGATTCGATGCATGTTTTGCTAGATAAAATTAAAACTTAAAAAAAAATGATAATTTTTTTTTTAAATTTAGAATTGAACAGGAGCATTGCATATAAATAGTGATAGTGCAATCACTTTTCATCAATTATTATTAAGTTGAAAGCGTTTGAGTTTGTGTTTTCTTTATATGATATGCTAAGTTTGTAACATTTTTTCTGAATACTAATACCAAGACCAAGCCCATAATTTGTTAACTCCCAGGGGTCGTCTATTGATCACGTCAACAATTTTTACGCAATTTTTGATACCCCCCACCCCCCCCCCCCCCCCCCCCCTTGTCGACAACAGTCAACACCAAAACTTTCAATTACCACCCTAATTAATTAATTATGTCAAAATTTTCTAAACCCCCCCCCCCCCCGAAAAAAAGTTTCATAATAAAAATACATTTATAAATGCATTTTACTTTGCGCTGATCTATTTTAATCACACTATAATGTAATAAAAACATTTTATTGCATCTTTAGCTTGTTAATCAACAAGTTAAAAAGTTTTTACACTTAAATTTTATAATGCAGTATCAATTAGAAGGTTGTTAAATAAATACTAAAAATCATGGTTTGTGGTATAAATATGATTATAGTATAGTTTCTATCTGCTATCATCGTCCCATGGAGTAGCCAGGTGTTGCTCTATTGTAAAAATGGGCAGGAGGGACATCATTTGGGTAGGGCAGGGGCGCATTTGCTCCCCCCCCCCCACTTGCATCTGCAGGTTTTATTCAAATTGATGTGTACTGTGGCACCTCTAGTATTAAACAACTTAATAAGCTGACCAAGTTTTGGTTTTGCCCCCTCTCCGCTGAAAAAACCTGAAATGAATCCCCTGATGGACATAGTCTATTTAGTAGCTGATTTATCATTTTCATCTTGTGGAACTGATATAACAGGTCAACATCATCTCCATCTAATCATTCAGCACTTAAAATAGAAGTATTGTCGGTGTGAGCAATAATTGCCATAAGCTCTCTCGGTCTCCTGGCAGCTACTTGCATTAGTCGAATCCTTTTTTTTTATGTTGAGGAGATGGTGGTAATTTCGTATGCATTGTTGGTGCTGTTAAACTTGCTATTTCAACATGACTTGTGATGCAAAATAGATGTTACAGATTTTTCAAATCCATTCAAGCAGCAATATTACTTTTGTTACTCACTTTACTTTCCCCTAACTCTCAAAATATCGTATACCTACTCTAGTCTCTAGCAATATCATTTATCTTGACTGCACATGACACTTGACTTGTCCTTCTTCCATACCAGCAACATGATCGCACTTGGTCATTTGCGACAAACAGAATCTACAGCTGAAGAGAGGCCAACTTTAGACTTCTCTTGCACTAACAAAGTGTTCTAACATTCTGACGAGCCATCTGCGTTTCACAGACAGACACAAATTAATAAATCGTATATGTTAAAAGCCTAAAAATTATATGACTATTTACACTCATTTAAACTTATACATTTTTATAAATAATGAAGTAACCAGTTAATTTTTAAGATAAAAAATTTAATAAGATGAAGAGAAAAAATTATTGTTGACATCAACTAATCTAAACCCCCCTCCCTCTCCCTTGTCAAAAACTGTCAAACAATTCCAAACCCCCTCCCCCCTTATTTTGTTGACATAATTAATGGACGCCCCATATTAAAAGAAACTTGTCGGTTTTATTTTTTAATTTGCGTTCAACATACATTTACTAATTAAGTACTTAACCCCAAAAATACTTTAAATAAAAATAAAAGCCACATAACTGTTTAGTAATTTCAAAAAAATTTTATAACATAAATAGGTCAAGAAGAGCCGCTTGGTATTTTGAGGCCCTCTGCCACTATTTTGTTTTATCCTCCGCCACCTTACATTCAAATTTGATCATTTAAAAAAATGTCCACATCACAACTTTAAGCTAAGCCCCTAAAATATCCTAGGCCCTCAGCAGCGCTAGGGGTTGCAGGACCCAAGTGAAGGCTCTGAGGTCAAGTGAACCTAATTTTTTTAACTGGCATCTTCCCTGTTGCTCTCTGATTATGTGTAGAATGTTGCAAAACTAAATGCAGCTATGTTATCAAACATTTCCAGGGGACTTAAACTTAAAGATTTAAGCTAAGGCGAAAAGCATATCCTCAAGTGCACCACCAATGGAATGAATTTAGTTCATTTTGGGCTGGAGTTAGAGATGTTCCTAATTTTGATAATTTTTGGCAGATCTCACCTGAAAGTCTGAAATTCCCCCTGAATTTGTCTGAAAGAAACACTGAATTCAAATATGCTCCAAAATGCATCCCTGCATTTTGAATTTTCCCTCCATTTCTGCTTCCCCCGTCCCCTTCCCTCACGCTTGTAAATGTGATAGTATGTGCTTAAAAATAAATTTGTGCTAAATTATCACCCAGGGCCTGCTTCCCCCCAAAAAATAACAGTATAGCAGGTGCCGGTAACGACTTTTGGTGCTGATAGATACACTTTTATGGCATAGAGAAAAGCTTAGCATTATTTCTATTGGCATAGGCCTACCGGATAATGAATTCATTACAGTAGGTTAATGTACGCAGAGTCCCTACCTCTCAATCTCAGTCTTGTATTATAGGAAGGGCTCATAAAAATATGGGGGAAAACCAGAGCCCCCCCCCCCCCCCAAAAGAAAGAGCTTTTGACAGTAATTGATTACAATTAATAAATACTAGCTACTATAACTGGCTGGATGTGTGGTCAAAGTCAGAATATTGACATACAACACTTGTGGGCTGGAGTTCAGATTCAAGCAAACTGCTACCCAAATCCTCCAACGGGTTTTTGTGTAAAAAAACTCCTTAATTCTAGCACGTTTTTAAGATACACAAACTTTTCAAGGTTGAAGAAGTGTTGTTAATGCTTACAGAAACTTGGAGCACAAAAACAGTTTTGTAGCAGGTACAAATATAATGAACTTTCTATGAAAACAATTTTTCAGGCAAATTATTTATGAATTTTAATTGTTTTCACAACATACTCATAATCGATTTACAAATGCTGAGTATTTTTTTGCCTCTTTTCATCTACGAATGCTAAAATGTTTATCCATATTCATCTATAATAAAGAATTTATAAATATAAAACAAAAGTAATATTAAGTCACACTAAGAATTTTTTAAAAATAAAATTGCATTCTGAACATCCATTTTGTTTACAGGAGTTAAAAATAACTACCCCTAACCGCACAAATTTGAACTGAGAAACTTAAGTGTCAAAGAACTTAATGGTGCTATAAGCCTTGAAGAACTTTTTAAAGTCGTTAAAATAAAGGTCAACATTTAATACACAATTGAATTAGATCATAAGGTTCCAGGCAAAAATAAGACCATTCAAAGTACACACCATTAAAGACATTTATTTTATTACGGCATAAGAGTAAGAGTATCTTTGGATGAAAGGAGACATCAAAACAATTAATGGTGGTACCGGTACCCATTTTCATTACTTTTTCAAAGATTCAACCTTCATATTTCAATAAAATTTACTTTATTCAATAAAACTGTGTCTGCCTTAAATGAATTGTGATTTGGAAAATTTGTCAAACATACAACTGATTCAAATGTCCATCAACAATGAAAAGTATCACATAGACTTATCAATACAACATTTAACAGTGGTATGTACAAGATAACATTTAGGGTATAAAAAATTAAGTAACATCATTATTACAACAACATCAACAAATAGTAACAAAAGCAATGTCTTAAATTACAGCCTTAGACTGGACAGTGAGTGACAAGTGTGCTAAAACTCTGGCGTCTTGTCATCCATGTTTTACTCTATCAACTGCTATATAGTAAGATTTTTTGTCATGAACCGAATGCCAGCCTATGGGTCCCACCTCACAATCAGCACACATCAAGTACTTGATATTGTCAACCTGGAATGTATAGTACAATTACAAACTCATTTAAATATTAGTCAATATTTTTCAAAAGATGGGTACTCCAAATATAAATGAATTAATAAATAGATTTAAATATGTGACCAATGGAGCCTCTATAAGAAATTAACTCAAATGATACTAAACCTATTTAGTGATTTACTGCTTAGTTCTTCCATATTTGTCTTTTAATTGTATGAGCATTACTTGTTTTAACATTAAATAAACCTTATATCAACTTATATTTAGTTGTCATTCACTTACTGTTTTTGAAAAGCCCACATTGTCAAATGTGAGCATGTCAGGTACATGCCAGAAGTCTACTAATGTTACACCTTCTATTGGTGCAGACTCATTCTTTTGATACATGTTTGGAAGGAAAAACTGCAAAAGACCACAAATGCATTACACATGAGGCTGAGATATTAAAAGCATTTGAACTGAAAACTTTTTATCTGAAATTTTAAAACTTGAATTTCAACTACCTGTACTACATACAAATTTTTAATATTTATTTATTGCTTTAAAACTGAATGATTAGCCTAATTTTATGGAAATACTAGAAATTTCTTTTTTTAAAAATATGCTTCAGTGCCAGAACATAATGGGGAAAACAAAGATGTTTTTATGGATGAGATATTAGAGACGCTCAAAGAGAATTTTCTAAATATTTTATTCCTAGCAAATAAAATTAGGAAAATATTTTATACACAAAACACAAGTATATTTGCCACACGTTTTATTGTCATATGTGCATTTTGGTTTGTCATTTATTTTTCGGATGAGACAAAACACCAAATTTATTGCTCACAACCATTCTAAAATTTATTTCCAAAAAATAAATCACCCAAGACATCATGGACAGTATGAACCAGTAAACTGGAATTTAATGGTGCTTTATACCTAAAATACTACCCAGACCTACATTCTTTGGATCATAACTCTCAGTAGAAAATTTTAGAAAAATTGGTGAAAAAAAAAGATTTGAAAAATCAGAGCAGTTGCAGGATTGTATGAATATCAAGGTCTTAAGTCCAACTGTCCGTCCAGGGCAATGGCTATCATGATTGATGTGGCTTAGTGGGACACCTGGAAAGACTAGTCTCTGCCTACACTTACTCTGTATCAAATCTATGGAACAACCTAAAGGCTGCATTTACCAGGATGGATAAACATAGCTAATCCTTGGACATCCACACAAGTTTACCACTGCCATACATGCCACTCCGTACAATTTACCTGTACTTTGTACAGTTTTTATACATTTACGGAGTTGTACAGCTATACAGGATTTAGTACAGATTTCAATGGATTTAGAAAAGACATAGGATCAAAACTGTTGGTGTAATAAATTCAATTCGGACTACAGGAAGTTTAAATCCCTTTGCTCTCTTTAAAATGACCAAGTTGAGGATCTGCAGACCATCTAAAATTAGCAACTGAGCACGATTTCATTAATATTATTCGTTAATAGGGCCTATTAAGACAGCATAATATCATAGCAGGTCTACTAAAGTATGGTGTGGTCTCCTTCATTGTATAAGTAGACCTTATTTGGAGCCAAAATCAGTGAGTGTTGTAAGTTGTATTATAATCTTTTTTTTACCGGGTACCGGTATTAATTTAATTCAGCTGGAAACTTCCAGCAAACACTTTAAATCCACATAGCAATTAGAGGGTTTCTTTTTAAAATCTTCAATCTTCATGACAATATGGTGAAAAATTAGGTTAAAAGTTTACCCATTGCAAAATTATACTAATTATATTAACTGAATTTTTTGTCTGCTCTGTGTTTAGTGGTACAAATCAGTTCACACGGGGAGCGGTGGACTTATAAGTTGTCACGGGGATAGACTATATATTACTGCATATTATTTCTGCAAATACAAAAAAACTGTTTGACAATAAATATGAAACATTAACCATTGACTTGATGACATGTTGTTTTGGTAATCAACCACTTCAGTGTTGGTTGTGAAAAAATCTTCTTGTTACCGTTTAAATTGCTATTTAAACAATTATTTTTTATTGATGTCCGTTAATATTTAATAATATTACAGTGGAGAGGGCCACTGGGTTTTTGGTGGCATAGAAAGAGAGAGTGGCACTGTTTCTTTTTGAATTGCCAGATGGACATGCAATCACTTTACAAGAGTGCAAAGAGGCTCACTTACTGTATCAGAGAGATGGGCGGCTTGTGCAAACATAAACAAGATCAGACACAGAATCTAAGAATACTTTGATGTTTTTCATAAACAAAATTTTGTTTATATCCAAAAGACACTAGTGTCCACACACAGAATGTTAAAAATATGTGGATGCACGCAAATGTGCAAACTGAAAAGTCAGTTTGGCATAAGCCACAATATTTTCCCTTCATATTTGCATTAGTTCATGTTCCGCAATCGTTTTTGTGGAGATGATATAAACTCAAACTCTGTTTCTTTTTCATACATTAAATTGTTTAAATTTTTCTATTTTAAAATTGATGTATTTTTTAAATAATTTTTATATGTGCTGAAAGAATATGTAAAATGTAATAAAAAAACATGTTCCATTTATTTGGATAAATAAAAGAATAACTATTTAAATGGCACTTCAAAAGGGAACAAAATGATTTGTTCATATCTGATGCTCAAGTGGTAGATAACCATTATTTTATAGCCTTTGAATTTAGTCAGTTTTTAAAATATAAATTTTCAAAAAGTAAAATATACCAATTTACAAGTGTGTCATATTTTAAAAAATACATAATTATTATGTTCGATTAGTAAATGATTAGTTGTAGACTATTGTATCTGTAATGTGTATGGTACTTTTACTATGTAGTCGTATACCCCGACATTAAACAAAGCCTATTGACCTCTTGTGTTAGTTTCTCTTTCAGAGAGAACGTATTGAGGTAGTGCAGGCCAAAAATATATTTTATGCAGATTTATGCCAATTTTTATTTTTAGTTAGAAATAAGAGTAATCTACCACTTCAGTGTCGGTTATTAAAAAATCATGTTATTCCGGTTTAAAGTGCTATTTAAATGGTTATTGTTTTATTGATAAGATTAAATTATTTTCATTGATCCAAATAGATAAAAATGTTTTTTATAACATTGTACATATTCATTTCAGCACATAAATATATAATTTAAGAATTTATTATTTTTTTTAATGCAAAAATTTAAACAATTTAAAACAATATTAAAATTTTTTAAATTTAAAATTTAAGCAATTTAATTTATGAAAAGACAACAGAGTGAGAACATAGTTCTTCCCCAAGGTAACAATGAAATTTTAAGAAAATATCATCTCCAAGAAAATGGTTGCGGAACCTGAACTCATGCAAATAGATGGGAAAAGATCACGGCTTGTGCTAAACTGTCTTTTCAGTTTTAGCTCTGAGTGTGGAGACCGGCATCATCTGGAACAACAAAATTTTGTTGATGGACCACAATGGCGTGTTCGTATATTCCATGTCTGATCTTGGTTATGCTGGCATAAGCCACCCTTCCATCCAATACAATAAGTGAGCCTGGAAGGCTATATATTTCTATGCACTGCTATAAAGTGATCTCACATTGGTCTGGTACTTCGACGAGCAAACAGCAACTACTCTCTTAGTCTTAGTCTTTCTATTCCACTGAAATCCAGTGACACTGTGTCCATGTAACGGACATCAATAAAAAAATAACAGTAAAAAGCACTTCAAACTGGAACAGGATTTGTCCATTACTGATGCTCAAGTGATAGATTATCAAAAAAAGTAGATCTGCTTTTAAGAAGACTATAACTTACTACTAACTTACTAAGTAGGCCTAAATGCACAATTTTGATACCGGTACTAAGAAAGGAATGGATATATATATTGCTTTAGTTTAAAGATAAAAGTTACCTCTTTATGGACTAGTGTGGCTTGTTGGGCTGATAATACAAGGCTAGGGCATCTCTGACAATATATACTAGTTTTATTTTTCCTTCCATCGTCTGATATCTTTTCAAACTTGGAGTTTGAAGTCGACGTTGTCGATTGGTGACTTTGCAGGTCAGTATTAGAACTTTTAGGTGACTCTTGCTCAGCCATTTCACAAGCACTATTAAGAGAATGTACTAAGTAAAATTTGGGAAAATGTGTTGTTCTCAAAGTCAAAGATATGAGTTTAAATTAAGCATAAACTTCCTTTAAATTTAGATATTATTTTTTAACAATCTAAGGAAATACAGAAACACTTCTTGGATTCCATGTTAAAAGTATTTTAAAGAAGCGAAACAAAATAATAAGGTAAATAGTATTTTGATAAATTATACATCTATTTGAAAATTATTATTTACTAGATAAAATAATTTGTCTACTTTTATGGTTTTTGCTAAATATTCAAAACAAATATATCTATTAAAAATAAATCTATCAATTAAAAATAATTATTGTTTTTTGTACTCAAACTACTTGGTTTTTTAACTTATGTGGACAAGGTAGATTCATATATCATAGTTTCGCATATTTAATATTAAATAGATTTTTATAATATAGATATACTAGCTCATATCCCGTCGTCCCGGGATGGATTCCAAAAAAAAAAAATTGTTTTAAATAAGTGACCGGGAAAAGAAAGTCACTGAATTAAAAAATGCAGATTATATTTTTTTAGATTTATCTTATTAAAAAGGGATCCTTCCTCAGTGGGATCTTATTCCCTGTTAATCATGTTACCTGCTTATCCTGTTACCTGTTGAAACCTCATTTCCCATCGGGATCCAATTCCTAAATGAGATTCCATTCCCCAGCAGGATCCAATTTCTCAAATAGTGCCCATTCCCTGTTGGGTTCCCGTTCTCTGTATTTATCCCCATTGGTTTCAAATTCTTTATTATGATACAATTGCCCAGTCAGATCCTGTTCCCTTTTGCGATCATGTTCCCTTTTGTGATCCTGTTCCCTGATGGTATCCGGTTCCCTGATGGAATCTTGTTCAATGATAGGATCTCTTTCCCTAATGAGACCCCCTTACTTGACAAAACTACATTTCCTTAAGCTTTTAAATTCACACACACACACATATATATATTTATATAAAGTTTGTACAATTCAAGCCATAAGTAACAGTACTGAATCATCTTGAACTCGTCTCGCGCTTGTTAATGGTGCAAAGCTCCAGACTCCCATGTTCTCAATCTTGAAAATGGAGATAGGCGTATGTGGGGAAGTTGTTTTTGAACATGGAGATAGACCTATGTGGGGCAGTTCTCTTTGAACATGGATCGCTCGGTGGAGGAAAAAAAGGAATTCAGAGCTGACCATTACTTGCGCGCGCATATGTTTGTGTCATTATGAAGGAGGAGTATGTCTGACGAAAGGTCGCAAAACAAATCCGAGAAAGATTTAATAAGAGGGCATCAAGTAACACAGTTAGGATGATTATTAGTACGAACGTTCGCCCTTATAGAAGTGTAGACCTGTCAACGGAAGAAGAAATCAGATCGACCTGTACGTTTTTCGATAACGAGAATCCCGCCCGTGTCCTCCAGAAAGTGCTCCCTTCGACCCGGGCTGGCTCAATGTACCGGCAACTCGGGCAAGTACCCGGGGCGCTATGTACTTAGGGTGCCACCAACGATGTTCGAAAATAGAAAAAAGAATTGCAAGTGGGTATTTTTTATGAAATAGTTGGTGAAATCAATATGCGGTGTAAAAGCGGGTGGTCATTAGAATATTGATATAAATTATCGTAATAAAAATGAATTTAAAGGATTTATACGACTAAATTTTTTAAGGGGCTGTTTAATTATTAGATGTAGAAGACATAGCAATAAAAGAGCACTTTCTTTGCTAAAAGACTGTTATAGAAACTACAGGTTAAGGATTATATGAAAGTGTACTTATTTTTTATTTATTTTTTTTGAAAGAGAGCCAACTAGAAGTACATAACTGCAGAGGCCAGGACTACGACACTTGTTCCAACATGAAGGGAAAATAATAAAGGAGTGCAGGCACGGATTATGAAGGAAAATCCACTGGGCTTTTATATGCTCCGTGGATTTCATAGCCTAAACTTAGTGGTTGGTGACAGTGTAACAATTTTCCTGGAATTTATTTCTTCTTTTTTTATGTTTTTTTTGGGTACAGTCCAGCACATCCTTTCTGCCTCTCCTGGACGATGGCACGTATTAAAAAACCATAATAACTGCCTCACTGTAAAACTTTTATGTGAGACTAGACTAGATGGAGTACAGAGTTGTGTCTATTGCCTCCAGCCTTCAAATCCCTAGTGCATGATTTCCTCATCAACACCAGTAACAGAAACATTGCAAATCCCATCTACATGCATAGGAGCCAAAATGATCAATAAATTGATCGTGGGGCCTTAAGATATAGAAGAAGAAGAAATTGTGTCAAAGCCATCAAATATGAACTTTCAGGAATTCGAGGAGCTCTTTACGAACTTTCAGAATTGTCTGCATCTGATCTTTTAATGCTACATGTCTGCGTCTGATCTTGTAATGCTACATGTCTGCGTCTGATCTTGTAATGCTACATGTCTGCGTCTGATCTTGTAGTGCGAAATATAGCAGAAACACCTGTATCACAATAAATAAAATATCATGTTTTTTTTTAGTAATGATAAATGCCTGATATGATATATTAGGCAGAGTCAATGTTGTCAGCAAAGCCTATGCAGGACGCCACTGTGGAATAATCTACTGCAGTTCACTAATGAATAGTGTCACTGGTTATTTAATTGATTGTTGTTGGGGGGGGGGGGAGGAGAGATTTGGATGTTCACTAGAGTCAGCAAAAAGAAAAAAGTTACAGAATTAGATATATCGCTAATTTTTAGAAATAAAAGGAGGAGGCGGCTGGTTGAATATGAGTGCACTGACGTGGTTTCCCTTGCAGATTACCCAGGGAAAAAAAAATTAAAAAATCTCTAGTTCAATTTAATACTGGACAAAGGAAAATCCTTTTTTTATCAGAGAGTTTTGAACAGTCGCAAAGCTTCAATAACACATGGGGATTTTTGAATGACTTTAAAAAATCTGCAATGAGATAAAGATAAGCTCAAAGTAGCATGAAAAATAAGATAAGATAAGATTCTTTTATTGATCCAAACAAATGGAAATGTTTTGTGATTGCATTATACATTTTCAGCACATAAAAAAAAAAACAATTTGAACACAAGACATTTTTAATAAATTATTTCAAACAGCCATTCAGTGAGTTCTCTTAGCCAAATCGGAGACTTATTAGTTCTCATAAAGATGTGTGACTTCAGAGGTAAATTCGTACAGATTGGGGAACAAAAGAATTTTGTATATCTTTCAGTCCTAGCCCTGATGGAACGAATTCGTCCCGAACGGCTCTATCCTAAGTATCTGTGATGAAGAGGGCGGGATGTATCATTCAAAATATGTTTAGTTTTACAAAAACATCTTTCTTCAAATAGTTCTTCAAGTGAAGGATGTTTAGTTTGTGTTATGTTCCTAGCTTTCTTGATAAGTCTGTTTATTCGCTGTTAAAAGTCGGACGATGAATTCCCACACCAGCAGGTAACACTGAAATTAAGTAGGCTTCCAAATGTTGCACTGTAGAATAAGTTAGCGACTTGCTTGTTTACGACGAAATTGTACAATTTTTTAAGATACAAAAGTCGTTGGTTACATTTTTTATACACCATGAGGTAATGCTGCCAAAAGAAGCCGCTAAATTCGTAAACACCAATAAGTTATCGGATGTCATACCAAATCTATGGGTAGCATTAAGAATAATAGAGTACCGGTTCCTATGCTGTAGCCGCTGGCGAGAGAACCTTTAGTAAAGTAAAGCTTATAATATAAAAACATATTTAGGATCATCCATGTCACCATGTCTCAAGGCAGAATGAATTCTTTGGCAGTTTTGTCTATAGAAAATGAAATTGCAAAGAATATAAATATGTGGATAGTGCAATAAAAAGATTTGCTGATCTAAAGACTATATAGATTTAGTAGAAGAAAAAACGTCAACGGTAGGCTAATTGTTCATTCTGTACTAATACAAGTTAAGAAATACAGAGTATTGTTCATTTTTTTTTTTAAACTAGGTATTTAACTCCTTACCTAACCCCCAGTTTTTTCTTTGCAAAAATGTGTAGGATTTTATTTAAAAGGGGTGCCAAAGTTAAACTTGCCCGAGGAGTCCGCAATGGTAGGGCCGGCCCTGGTTCTACAGTGCGAAGTGTGCGGAGGAACATGCGTCATCATGACAGTCAATCCGTCCGTTCGCCTTTTGTTAAATGGCACAGGTGCAAGTGACATATTGAAATTATTGATTTATAATTATCCTACTTTAATAGTTCTCAATGTGTCGTGGGATCAAGATAATCAACTTTATTTGTAAAATTTTGAAATAATCATTCCCCCCCCCCCCC